TTTTTTGCCATTTTCATGCGCGGAAAAGCCCAGATATGTGGGTTCCTCATGGTGAGAAGATCCCGGAAAGGTGAAAAACTGGAAAACGAAATTCTGTCGAGCAGCTGCCTTTGAGGAACAAACTAAGGTGAAGACAAAAGTAAGACATGAAGATGCAAAATAAACTCACTGCTCAGGCTCCCATAACAGTGGCAAATCCGCCAGCAATTCACTTGCTTGCAACGATTCCTTCTCCAGCATGTTCGTAGAGATTTCTATTGCGCTTACCAACTGGTTCTTTGGAACACCTTTCTTGAACAAGTCAGCGTAGGACTGATTACGGATATTATGAGTCGAAACTAGACGTCGCTGAAAAAACGGAGAATGGCGAGAATATAAAAGACATCGAAACCTCACCTTTGCCTTAGCAATAGCTTGCACAAGACCTTCGATGATTTTGTTTACTTTTGCGCGACGATCCACCACCAAATCATGCTCTTGCTTCAATCGCTTTATAGCATTCTCAGTGACCTGCATAGTGAGTACGTACCAATGGTTAATAGATTGAGAATAACAAAACAAACCTCTCGATTAGCTTTGAATGCTTGCGTACGCTTGATATCATTTTCGTCAACAGCATCGCTACAGCTTTGCAAGTTGACCAACACATCTTCTAATTGTTTGGTCTTTCTGTCCAAATCTATTATCTGAAAAGCCGATCTAGCATATCGAAGTCATTATAAATGGAAATTGTACATGAAACATAGATTGGTTATTTCAAAAGGGTAACAATGCAGAAAAAGCAAAGAGTAAGCGATTTAAATGCATGCTACATTTACGAGAAAATGTAGCCGCCATTGCAAATACTAAGTAAATGGTGAAAAAGGACGTTAAGACATAGTAAGTTCAAAAGAACAGCGCAAAAATACAATAGCTGAACGAAACATACCGCCTGCGTAAACTCGTAGTGAAGGTCATCTGCAAACCCCTTTTCTTGGACAACAGCATCATAAAGACGTGCAGCGCGATCAAAAGCAGTCTGAGAGATACGTAACCGTTCCAAACCAAGTCGGAGTTCCCAATCTATAAGCTCAACCATCAATCAAGAAGGTACTTCTGCGCCAATATATTCGCATTCGGACTCTTAAAGGCAGCGGCTCGGCAGAATTTCTTTTTTCAGTTTTTCACCTTTTTGGGACCTTCTCGCCAGAAGAACCCATATCTGGGCTCTCCGGGCATGAAAATGGCAAAAATGAGCGTTTTTTCAATGCTTTTCAGGTCTGCATTCAATGCAAATATGCG